ACCGTGGCTAAACACACTGGATGCTCTTTCACAGGACCCGAGTTTGAGACCCAGTGCCCACCTGGCAGTTCACACCCATCTGTAACTCCAGTTTCAGGAGGCTCTGGTGCCTGCTGAAGGCACATGCTTGCATGTAGAGCACAGACATCCACTCAGGAAAACACCCACCCACATAAATAAATCAGTCTTTTTAAAAAGCATCGGCAGTCCACCTGGGCTGCCAGACGTTGACAGGAGAAAGAAGTGGGGTAAAAGGCTTGACATCTCGGTCTTAGCCTCACGACTGAGTCATTTATTACCTGAGCACTGGTGTCTTAGCTACGGCTTCTATTGTTGTGATGAGACACCAGGAGCAAAACGCAGGCTGGGGAGGAAAGGATTTGTTTTGCTTACGTTTCTTTATCTGTTCATCATCAAGGAAGTCAGCTCAGGAAATCAAACAAGGCAGGAACCTGGAGGCCAGAGCTGATGTGGAGGTTATGGAGGGGTGCTTTTGGGGTAAATAGAGTTGGGTTCAGAAGCAGACCTTCAGGTGCTCTTATACACCACTGTCTAGGGACAGGAAATAGGGTTAGGATCTCAGAGGAACCCTATTTCCTAGTCCACCACAGGTTCCTAAGTCTAAACCTTCAAGCCAAAAGCCATCGATGAGAATTAGCTCTCACCATGCAAATCACCACACATAATTCCTCCTGCTTCCCAAGGCTCAGTATACCAGCTCTGTCTACATGGGGGATGTGTGAGTTCGGCATTCCCCTGACTCCCTTACATTGACAGCCCTGGAGTTTAGGTCATCAGAAGACTGGACCTTGGACTGTGATTCAGTGCAGGCATCTCAGAAGGCTCCGAAAGAGAGGAGGTCCTACTGGGAAAGGTTCTCAATGATCCCTGGGGTGGGGTGGTACCCGCTCCACCCACCTGTGTGGACAGGTGGAGAGGATGATCCTGTGGTCACGTGGACAGTGGCCTGGATGCCGGAGCTAGTGACAATGAAGTGACTGGCTTATGACCTCTCCCTGGGCATGGCCAGCTGCCACGGGTACGGAGGGAGCAAGGTTGTGTCACTGTTGTGCCTTCACCCCTGTGCTTCAGCTCACCACCCCAACTTCAGAGTGGCCGAGTCGATAGAATGCAGCCATTCATGTCCCTGTGGTAAAGGAATACGAAAGGATGTGAGGGAAAGTTCACCATGTGACATTGGATGGGAAAGGCAGGCTATAAACATAAGAACGGTCTTTGGAAAACAAATAAAAGAACCTGAATCATATACATTTGAATATAAAAAGATCAAAACAAAACTTGTAATCAAATAAACCTAAATTATTGCTAGCCAGTGTTGGTGGATCCCTTTAAACCCCAACACCCAGGAGGCAAATGGATCTCTGTGAGTTTGAGGCCTAGACTAGTCTACAGAGAGAGTTTCAGGACAGCCAGAGAGAGCTGTTAACACAGAAAAACTCTGTCTCGAAAAACCAAAACCAACCAAACAAATCTCAAGTTGAATATTACAATTATGCAAAATCTAAATAGAAAAAAAACAATAGCCACATGAAAGTTTTATTCACTGTCTGTTCTTAGACATGTTAGTGACTTGTCCCCAGTCCCAGCCAATAAATACCTAGAGCACAGTTTGATGCTAAGCAATGGACTTGCCTCAGGAAGAAGTAACAAAATTACCTCAAGATCTGTGAGAGGGAGGGGAGGGCTTACTTGGCTTATGGTTTTTGTATTTCCACCTTTTTACCAAGGTATTTAAAAAAATAATCAACGGTTCTTTACTCCTATCCCACACTAAATCAAACAAATTGTGAAGTAGCAAAACTGTGTGTGTGTGTGTCTCTGTGTGTCTCTGTGTGTGAGTATGTGTGTGCCTGTGTGTCTGTGTCTATGTGTGTGAATGTATGTGTCTGTGTGTGAGTGTGTCTGTATGAATGTGAGTGTGTGTCTGTGTGAGTATGTATGAGTGTGTGTGTGTCTGTATGAGTATGAGTGTGTGTCTGTGTGTGTGAGTGTGTCTGTATGAGTGTGAGTGTGTCTGTATGAGTATGTGTGTGTGTGAGTGTGTATGAGTGTGTGTGTCTGTATGAGTGTGTATGAGTGTGTGTGTCTGTGTGAGTGTGTCTGTATGAGTGTGTGTGTCTGTGTGAGTGTGTCTATATGAGTGTGTGTGTCTGTGTGAGTGTGTCTGTATGAGTGTGTGTGTGTGTGTGTGTGAGTGTGTCTGTATGTGTGTGTGTGTGTGTGTGTGTGTGTGTGTAGTCCCCACAGAGAAGCCTGGGAGGTTTTCCTGGTTCCTTGGCTCTAACCCTCCACAATTCAGTCTTACTTCCACGCATGTGCTCTGCAGCCCTAGCTGCTGCGGGAGCACTCAGCAGCAGCTCCTGCCCTCCTTCCCGAAGCAGGGAGGCCTTCTGGGACCCTGGGGCAGCACATAGTTTTGGCTGCAGCTATGCTGCCTTGGAACTTGAGTTCTTTGAGCTTGAGGTTTGTTGTTGTTGAAAGGACTGATGTAGGTCATGCTCTGGAACAGAAGAAGGGACTCCACAAAGACCTCCCCAAAGCTGGCCTCAAAAGTTCTTGCCCTGTCAGCTCTCTCTGTGGAGCCACAGCAGAACAGAGCCACTCACCCTCAGTGCCTCTCCCCGGGTCCCTCAGCTGACCTGCACACAGACAGGCTGCTAAGCCTTGGAGCACCTCTCACTATGGTATTCCCTGGGAGGCCTGAGTAAAAGTCAAACTGCAGTTCTTCTCATAAGAATCTGCCTCAGGCATGAGGAAGGAATCTTAGAGTCCAGAGTTTTATAGCTCCCTGAGGGTTCTGAGGAGAGCTGGTGCTCTATCACATAGAGTCTCACCTCAAACTTCCCTTCAGAATTAACCATAGCCAAGGTACAGCCTCACTAGCTTAGATCTGAGAGGGGTCCTGACCAGTCTCCCGGGGTGTGCTGGTACCACAGTCATGTGATCACTCCAGGGTTGCTTGTTCTGTGGTATCATGTTCTGATGTTGAACAATGGTAGATCCAGGAGCCCCGGCCTCCCCAACTCAATCCTCAGTGGCTTCCGCATCCATGACCGCCCCCCCCCCATGTGGAGGCCTGCAGACAACCTTTGGGCTCTTAGAATGAAATGATGAGCACGGCCTGTGGCGGTCCCTCCATAGTCTGGAGTTATAGATCTCTACATGGAAATTGAAGCTGGGTGTCTGAAAACCCTTCTCCACAAGGCCTGTGCAGGGTTCCCAGACCAGGCCCGCAGGAAGACACCAGCTGTGGAACCAGGGTGAAATGCCTCTTGGGCCGTGACTGGGTTCAGAGGTCTGCGAGAACACTCTGGGGGTTGTCACTCAGAGGCTGACCGTCCTAAGGATAAAGTGGGCTGATGTGGGATGTCTTTCTGTATGCTTGAGTCTCGCCCAGTTCCGTTGGGCTGGTTTCTCTTTTGCACCCTCATAGATGCTTATTGGATAATTATTTTGAAGCATAATATGAACCAATAAACAGAAGGACGTCCTCCATCATCCGGCAGCTGCGACACTCTGAGTGGAGCCCAGCTGCTGGAAGGGTCGTGGCCTCTGAGACTCAAAGCAGACTGCTGGCCTTATGCTATCACTCAGCGAGGTCGTCTGGGTTGGAGAGGCATGAGGGAGCAGCCCACTGCTCTTCTGCTTCTGATGCTTCCCAACTCTCTGTCAGACAGCAAAGGCGAGCACCTGGGTTCAGTGAACTCTCAGAACCTGTGTCCTCACCTATAGACACACTGACAGGCACAGCTACTACTCACTGAGTGTGTGACCTGACTAGGTTCTGCAACTAAGCTGGTCACGCCTGCACAGTCCTGGCACTGTTAGTTAGGAGGTGTGTCCTAGTTAGGGTAGGTGTAGCTTGGTTGGAGGAAGTATGTCCCAAACCAGATCCGATCCAGTTTAGTCTCTCTCTCTCTCTCTCTCTCTCTCTCTCTCTCTCTCTCTCTCTCTCTCTCTCTCTCTCTCTCTCTCTCTCTCTCTCTCTCTCTCTCTCTCTCTCTCTCTCTCTCTCTCTCTCTCTCTCTCTCTCTCTCTCTCTCTCTGTCTCTGTCTCTTTCTCTCTCTCCTCTCCTTCCTGCCTGTAGAACACTCAGTTGCTCTCTAGTACTCTGTCTACATGTCACAATCCTCCCCAACATGATGACAATGGACTAAACCTCTGAACTGTAAGCCAACTCCAATTAAACGCGTTTTTATAAGAGTTGCCATGGTCATGTCTCTCCACAGCAATAGAACTTTGACCAAGATGCCTGCTTAAAACTATGGTTTTTAGATTTATCTATTTTCTGTGTGAATGTTATGATTGAGTGTGTGTGTGTGTGTGTGTGTGTGTGTGTGTGTGTGTGTGTGTGTCTGAAGACAGCGGAAGGCAGCATTGCTCCTGGTACTGGAGTTACAGATGGTTGTGAGCAGTAGGGATCAAACTAGGTTCTCTGCAAGAATAGCCAGTGCTCTTAATTCCTGAGCCACCTCTCCAGCCCTCAGGCCTCTGCTTTTAACTCCTTCAGTTATGCTCATTGCTTAAACAACCCTTTCCCTTTGCCCCACCCTGAGATCTGTCTCCGCCCACACACCAGTCCACACCTTCCTCAACCCAGCTGCAGGACTCCCTGCAGACAGGTGCAGGAGCCCTCCCGCCTCACTTCCTGGTTCCCCTGCCTCCCCACCTTCTTTGCCTGGTTCTCCTTTCAATGCATCTCATTTGGGGCACTCTCTCCCCCATCCCTCAGCTGGATGGGGGCTGTGATATGAGACCCTGTACTTCTTCTGCCCCAGACCCTGTTGTAGGGATACTGGAAATATCTTAAATGGTGAACTACTGTGAAGACAGGACTTGATGCCTTTCCTGGGTGATAGCTGTGACCAAGCCTGTGTGTGATGTCTACTGAATGATCACAGAGGGAGGGGGGAGGAAGGAGGGAGGGAGGGAGGAGGCCAGGCAGGTAGAGAGGGAGGGAGGCAGGCAAAGGGGGAGAAAAGGAGGACAGGAGAGAAGGAGGGAGGCTGCTTGTCATGGGATTCACCCTTGCCTCTGACAGCCAGTAACTATTCTTGTAAGGTCAGGAGGCCTAGGCATGTTCAGAAACCTACCCTACAATCATGCCACCTCCCTCAGAAGGCCACTCGAGGGCCCGTGGGGTGGGGCTGGAAATGAGGAAAACTGAACTATGGCTTCCTTTCACAACTAGGGCAGGTTCTACAGACCCCAAGCCTAACTAAACATGCTCCAATGCCATAGTTGAGATCAGGGCTGAAGAAGAGTTGAAACCTGGAGGAGTCTTTAACTTGGAGTAAAAACCAGCACAGTGTTGGCAGAAAGCCAGCATGCAGAGGCCGGGATCAGGCTTCATGGACCAGCGTGTCAAGGAGTAGTTTCGGAATGCTGGGAAAGGGACACTGCATCTAGATCTGGAGAAATTTTCCAGGTCATGGAGTTTCAAACTTGGTCCAATAGGATCAAAATGAGAGCCATAAGACAATGTGCTGGGGTTGGGAGGGTTAACTTATAGGACAATCCCAAGAGGCCAAGCAGACAGTCCCACAGCTGCTTTCTATTACCAGGGAAAGGGCAGTTTCCAGACGCGGCCAGCAGAGGGCAGCTCTAACTCACATTTCCTTAGGCCGAAACCGGTCCAACACACATCTGAGATCCTGTGAGAGGCCTGGCCCTTTTGAAAGTGGAGAAAAGGACAAGTGGCGAAGGGAACAGGCCAGCTGTGCACAGCTGGCGAAGAGGGATGGTGGCCATGTATGGCCAGTGAAGTCAAGTCAGGTGATACACCCCACACAGCCTACTTCCTTCTCAGCTGTGCCTTTGGCTCCCCCAGCCACTCTCCCAGTGAGAGACCCTCAGCACCCCACTGGTGACTGAACTGAGCCTCTGGGGGCCTCTAGCCTCTTTGGAATCACACCAAACAGAAGAATTCATGTGGTTGAGGAGGAAGAAATTCAGGGCCTTTGATCTCTCCTTCTCTAAGAAGGTGGGAGAAATTGTCAGGATGAGGGGAAGACACTCTGTCCTGTGGGCTTCACGGGTGCTTATCTAGCCAGCTCTGGGCTAGGGACAGAGAGACCCCTGACAGCCCCTGCCCAGACCCTCTGGTCCGCCCTTACCAGCTCCTGCCCAGCTGGTAAGGGCAGAAGGCGTCGTGGAGGCGGTGCCTGTGCTAAGTAAGGGGGAGGACTGTTCCTCCTCTGGGCGGAGGTAGAGGTTTTGACAGCCGAGGACATGGGGGTGCGGGGGGCCTTGGGATGTGAGTAGGGTTTTACCAGCTGGAGAAGGAAGGACAGCCCTAGGAGGGACCCGCATGAGCACCAGGCTGACGCTGACTGCAGACAGCGCTGGTGGCCATGAGCGGATACGGCTCTAGGTGCTTTTAAATAACCTTTGGGCCAATGGCCAGGATTAGTTCTCATCCTCAAGCTGCCTCGAAGTATCTTCACCCCCCTTCACAGATGACGAGACTGAGGGTCAGAGAAGTAAAGTGGCCTGGTGAGGAGCCCGGGAGCTGATGTCTGCCCTGTTCAGGTCCATGTGACCCATGGTGCTGCTCCGGTCTGAAGTCAGGGCCTGTGAGATGCGGATGAGACGAAGATGGAAGTCTTTCTGTCCTGGGGCGTCGCCACCTTCGGCTTCGCCCTCTGTGATGGAGCTGTAAGAGCTGCTGCCTAGAAACCTGTTCTCAAACATCTACCCGTGCATGTATCCCTATTTTCAGTTTTCCTTGACCTTTATAGAAAAATTCTTGCGTGAATTGTGTTCCTGTGGGCCAGAGTTTTGGGTTTCTTGTTGGTTTGTTTTCAGGTAATATCAGTTGAGGAACTGCCTCCATGAGATTATCCTGTAGACAAGTCTGGGGGGCATTTGTTACTTGATAGCGGGTGTGGGAGGGAGGCCTCACCCTGCTGTGGGCAGAGGCATCCCCTAGGCAGGTGGCCCTGGGTTGTGTAAGAAGCCAGCTGAGCAGCCGCATGGAGAGTAAGCCAGTAAGTAGCTTTCCTCCGCCTTTCCTGTTTGAGTTCCAGCCCTGACTTCCCTTGATGATAGACTCTGATCTGTGAGCCAAATAAACAAACCCTTTCCTCTCCGAGTCGCTTTTGATCACTGTTTATCATAGCAAAAGAAAACAAACGGATACAGCCTCCTTTCCAGGAGCCATGTCTGCCTATTTGTCTGTCCATCTGTCCACCTGCCTGCTTGTCTTTCTGTCTAGGTGCTAAGAGGGCAGATCTCCCTACACAGCCTCTCCTTGTCTTGTTCCTCTGGGGCTTCCCTCTCCTGCAGACATCTTCTGGTTCCTTTGGTTGTAGGCCTAGCCTTTAAGTGCTGAGTTGTCTCTCCACCCGTCCCTTCTGGGGCTTGGTGCAGTTATTCCATCTTGACCTGTTCAGGCTTCCACAGCCGGGCAGCCTGTAAACAAGGGAGGTACGTTTCTCTAGATTTTGGAAACTGAGAAGTCTGCAACTGAGGTGTCGGCAAATTTGTCTGGTGAGGGTGGCTCTATGGTTCACATGTGGCTCCTTCAGGCTGTGTCCACACACAGCCTGCTCTAGTTCCTTGGAGTCTTTTTATAAAGACATATGGTCGCCTCACAAAAATCTCACTTTCTGATGCCACCACCTGTGGGGCTAGAATTTTAGGGTATAAGTTTGGGGTAGTGAAAATAATCAAGCCAGAGTATTTTGTCCCCCACAAACCCCTAAATTTATGTCACTGTCATGTACAAAACATATTAATTTTATCCTAATATCCTGGAACATTTTAGCTAATCTAAGTAGCAACCTTAAACTCTAAGTTCCAAGCTTTAGCCAATCAGATTTAAGTGAGACTTAACTAGCCTGAAGCACTGGGCTCCCCAGCTGTGAGCTGTGGAACCCAGCAAGCTCCGTGCTTCTAAGACAGTGGTGGGACAGGCAGAGGACAGACGTCCACACCACAGGAAGGAGTCATGGACACAAGGAAAGTAGGAGTAGGGTCTCAAGGAATTCCAGGAACCAACATCATTCAGTCTCAAGATTTGAGAATGATTTTCCTCAAAAATTAAAATAAAGATGGGAGGTTGTGGTTCTCCTGGACTTGAACTGCATCTTGACAGTCTGAGATCTTGAGTGTTGCCCCCAACCTCATGGCTCCACTAGATATTACCCTAGTGAAGATTGCCTGGGTAAGTAAAAGGTATTGAAATCACAGTAAATAATATAACAATAAAGAGACATATGTAAAAATTCAGAGCATTCTACCCACTCTTTGCCTTTATCTTATTCTATTTCTCACAGGGTCATGCCTCAAAATTTGTTTACCCTAATATACATTGTTATATAAACAGATAAGGATAGCTACTGGTCAATATGTGTGCTCTTTGAATACACAGTAAGGCATCACTGGAAACATCTTATCTTGAAGCTTATCTCAGTTAACATCAGGCCATGGCCATGTTGATATTAGCAAGTCTGCCCGGTCTTTGTAGTGACTTGGAAGTCTACTGTGGAGATATGAATGAGCAGATTTTTGTTTGGTTTTAATGGACATTTAGGTTGTTTGTCACTACAAACAGTACTGCGATGACTATATTTGCAGATTAGCCACCACCTGACTAATAGTGTTTGGGGTTCAAAAATCTGAATATATGTCCTCAAATTGCCTTTAAAAGGTACCATGACAGTTTCTAGTGCCAACAGAGTGTATATGAAAACCATGACCTTATATATAAGCCAATATTGGTATTATCACATTTTAAAACTCTTTGCTCATTTTGGTAGGTGAAAATGTGTAATTTTAAGATTTCAAAGGGCTTTGAAACTAAGGTTAAACATTTTTCTACACAGATGTTCTCCTTAGCCTAAGGAAATATGTTCTAAGATCCCAGTGGTTGCGTGACACTACAAGACAGTAATAAAAAATCCCTCAACATATGTACACAAATGAATGTCATTTCTATTTATGCCTGCCCCTGATCCTAAGGATTGAATTTAGGGTTTTGCACACAATGGGGGAGGTGTGCCCACCAGGGAGCCCCACCTCCAGGCCTGCTGTTTCCATCTTTAAATTAGCCCTTACCAGCACAGTGGTTGTAGCTTTTGCTGGGATGCAACAGCAAAACTACCCAAGTTTCTTTTCCCTTTTTTGCAACGCCTCATATGAAAGGTCCATTCTTACTATGTATCTTAGCAACTCCGGCTAGTGGCTGCTTTCTGCACTTGTTAGACAGTTGAGAATGCTCACCTTTCAGTTAAAGGGAACACTTTTAGACCTCCCCATGCCATACCCAAACTGCCAGCATCATATCTGGGACACTTTCTGGTCACTATTAGTAGACTAAGTTACTAAACACAAGCACAGTGATACCTCAACCATTGGTTTGATGACCAAGATGGTCACCAAGTGATTAGCAGGTGAGCAGTGTATAACATGGACCCGTTGTACAAAGAGATGACTCAGAATGACTTGGTAGGCTCCATCAAAAAACTTAGAACAGTGTACAATTTAAAACTTCCAGATATTGTTTATTTCTAGAATTCACCATTTAATACTCTTGGATTGTGGCTGGCCACAGACAGCCAAAACCTTGGAAAGCAAAACACACAGATAAGAGAGACTACTGTATTTGTAGACTATCTGAACTCTTTCCTTTCTTTGTGAATCCCATTTTTTTGACCATTTGGGGCACATGCTAGCCTTTCCCTTCTTTATTTGTAGGGGTTTTAGGTTAAAAAAGCAAGCCTCTAAAATTGACTTCACTATTTCCGTTATTACAGAGTCCATGTTTGGTAAGATTTTGTTAAACTGCAGTTTCAGTTATTACTGCTTTCTTTATTTCTTCCATCTGATCCATGTATACTTCCCTCCAGTGTTTATTAGCACAAGATGACCAGTGTTTCTGCATTAAGTTGTATAATGATTCCAGCCAAAAGCAAAGGCTGGAATTTTTGTTAATCCCAGAAAAATTGCCCTGTCTAAATGCGGAACAGCCATTGGCTTTCTCAGAATTTTAAGTGGCTTGAGAAACCCCAGTGATGTGGGGCCACTGAGTGGGAGCTATGGACTTGGGTTTGACCTTTTGGCTAGGACCGCCTTTCACCAGCTCAGCTCATGCAAACCAGCAGTGTGGTTCGCACCTGCGTGCGCACTTTGTCCCTGTGGGTCTTTCTGCTCTGGAGAGCGGTCCAAGTGTTTACATATCTTCCCCCTTTGCTTATAGGCACACGTGGGTGTGGGTCCCTCTTACTGAGACTGGGTGGAACCCCTTGTGGCTGCTCAATGGGGCTTTATAGGGTTCTGAGCCCTGGGAACCAAGCGGGGAGACAGATACAGAGATGGGCAGAAAGAAGCTTATCCTGGGCGATACAAACTGACCCCAAGCCCTTCTGCTGTCCCCCCATGGCCTTCTTCCTTGGCAGGGGGTTGGTGGCTCTCCAGAACTATTCCTCTCTCTTCTCTTCTGCCGCTCCTGTCCCCAGAGGCTGATCTCCCCTCTCCCTCTGCCCCTTTCCCATTCACTTTCCCCCAGTTAAAAAGAAAAGCCTCTGCCCAAGCTCTGTCTTAGGGCATCTTTGCCTCGAGCACCGCTTTGTAAAATTACAGCACAGTGGGCAAAGGCTTTGGGGCGAGGCAGGTTCGAGGAGACCCAGACTGGGGGAAAGGAGTTGGCCAGCAAAAAGGAACCAGTGCTGAGGAGAGGTGTGAGGCTGGGGTAGTGTGAGGGCAGGTTGGAGCAGGAGTGGTTCCGGCTGCTGCCTTCTTCCCGTTCTGGAGGAATGCGATCAGTCTCACTAAGATCAAACAGGAAGGACCTGCAGTCCAGACTGATGTTGGTGAGGGATGTCTGCCTGTGGTGGGAAGGGAGGGAGGAATCCAGAGGTTCTGAGTGTGTGTGAAGGGGGTCACTGGGTCACAGGTTGCCACTTTGGAGGTATTCTAGGGATGCCAGAGACAGACAGAGAAAGCAGTTCAGAAACTGGCAGACAAGCTTCATCCTTTACCCACTGCTTTGATAAATATTTACTAAGCACTCACTGTGTGCCAGGCACTATTCTAGGAAGGCTCTATTTTAGGAAGCTCTGCCCCACTGATCCTTAGCTTCAGGACAAGGTCCAGGCTCACTCTGCAGTCCTCAGCATCCTCCCATTCACTGTGGCTCGGACACCACATCTCACAGTACTGGATCTCATAGAACTAGATCTCACAGTACTGGCTCTCACAGTACTGGCTCTCACAGTACTGGATCTCACAGTACTGGATCTCACAGTACTGGCTCTCACAGTACTGGATCTCACAGTACTGGATCTCACAGTACTGGATCTCACAGTACTGGATCTCACAGTACTGGATCTCACAGTACTGGATCTCACAGTACTGGATCTCACAGTACTGGATCTCACAGTACTGGATCTCACAGTACTGGATCTCTCAGTACTGGATCTCTCAGTACTGGACCTCACAGTACTGGACCTCACAGTACTGGCTCTCAGTACTGGATCTCTCAGTACTGGATCTCACAGTACTGGATCTCACAGTACTGGACCTCACAGTACTGGATCTCACAGTACTGGACCTCACAGTACTGGCTCACAGTACTGGCTCTCACAGTACTGGATCTCACAGTACTGGATCTCACAGTACTGACCTCAGTACTGGATCTCACAGTACTGGACTCACAGTACTGACCTCACAGTACTGGATCTCACAGTACTGGACCTCACAGTACTGGATCTCACAGTACTGGACCTCACAGTACTGGATCTCACAGTACTGGATCTCACAGTACTGGATCTCATAGTACTGGTTCAGACCAGCTCCCTGCTGGGCCTCTTTGAACCCTTGAACCCTG